CTGTTCTTTCTTGGCTGTAGTGGATGTTTATGTATAATTCACAGATAACACAATTAAAGCTATATCTATAATCGCTATGCTATAACTCACTATTGCTACACTGCCCATTTAACTCGATTTTAAAGTAGTGTGTTGGTCTTAGACTTTTGATTGCAGATTGAATCAATTAAGTACAACTGGAGGAAAAATTAAAAAGTAACCACCAAAATTATCTTTATCTAATATGGCCTTGATAAAGGAGAGTGTGTTGCATTCCAAGACGGGAAGTTTTTGCCCAGTTTATTTTTTGGTTTGCATATTCGTGTTTAGCAAAATTCCAATTTTTCGCTACACTTAGGAAAACAAGATTCCTTTTTTTCTTTCCTTTTGGACTATATGATACTAAAACTGGTGGTTATTCTAGATCACCACTCTCCAACAGAAATTTAATTTGCACCACAAATGTAAGCCACATATGTAATTTTTAAATTTTAGTGGCCACATTTAAAATTATGAAAAGTGGGCCGGCCGAGTGGCTCAGTTGGTTAAGAGCTCGCTCAAGAGTTTGAGCTCTGAACAACAGGGTCCCCAGTTTGATTCACGGCCCAAGCTGAGCTGTCACTGAGCTGCCAACAGGTGGCAGGATGGCTCAGCTAAAAAAAAATAATAAATAAAATAAAATAAAATTATGAAAAGCAACAGGTGAAGTTAATTTTGTTAATACATTATATTTAAAATGTTCTGCACTCGATTCTGAAAGGGGAAAGCTTTCCCACACCAACAAACAATTCTTAGACACCAGCAGAGTACCCAGGAATTCAACTCCATTCTGATACTATATACCTGGAGATAGCATCAGATTCCACAGTTTAGAGGCTCAGTCCCACAAGACCACCCTCCACTGTAGACTAATCACAAGCCTCAGTTATTACCTATGCTTCTGACCAACTGGCTTCAGATTGGAGGCCTCTGTGACCCCTCCTTGGGTTTGATTAATTTGCTAGAGCAGCTCACAAAACTCGGAAAACCCATTTACTCACAAAATTACCAGTTTATTATAAAAGTGTATAGCTTATAAACAGCCAAATGGAAGAAATGCATAGGGCAAGGTATGTGGGAACGGTGTGGAGCTTCCATGCCCTCTCCAGGTGCTCCACTTCCCTGAAATAGTCATGTGTTCACCAACCTGCAAGCTCTTCCAAACCCCTCTTTTGGGTTGTTATGGAGGCTACATTACATAGTCATCAACCATTGGTGTTAGCTTCAACCATCAGCCCCTTTCCTCTCCCCAGAGAAGATGGGAGGCTGGGACTGAAAGTTCCAATTCTCTAATCACTGAGTTGGCTCCCCTGGCAAGGAGCCCCCATCCTTACCTGACCTCCAAAAGCCACTAATTAACATAACAAAAAACACCTTTAAGGCTGTCACACTTAGGAAATTCCAAGGGTTTTAGGAACTCTGACAGAAAAGGGAGGAAGACCAATTATACATTTATTATTATAAATCACAATATTACAATATTTAACCTAATACCTCCAAATATTATCATCTCAACATGTAATCAATATAAAATATATTACTGTTTTACATTAATTTTTGTACGAAGTCTTTGAAATCCAGTGTGTATTTTGTACTAACAGAACATCTCAATTAGAACTTCAGTGTCTAATCCGTATGACAGTGGACAGTGCAGTCCTGGTTAGCTAACAGTCACTGAGATTTTTCTATGTGCTATGTGCTGTACCTGCATCCTTTCAATTACTTCTCACGAGTCTGCAGTTGATATTATTGGGCTCATTTTACAGGTGAGCAAACGGAGGCTTAAGGCACTTAGATTCTTTACTTGAGGAAAGCTGTTGAGCGTGGTGGAGTTGGGACTGTGCCATAGGGCTTTAACTTCAAAAGAATGCTCTGATTTAAAATGAAAGTCACCAGAAGAGGCCATATGGCAGATTTCTGAAACATTTATAGGAAGATATTGAAGATTAGACTCAGGGGTGAAGGCCGTTTAACAGCAGGTCACAAGTGTCTGGAAACATGTTTGAAAGAAACATTTTGAAGCAAAATGTGGGGGAAAGGAGCGTGATTGGTTTACCCATTATGACACTACCACCCATATTCCTCAGAGTTCATGTCTTCCCTGCCAGGATGTTCGTTTGGCAACCATTTGATTGCCACATACTTAGAACAGAGTGACTTCTCTTCCTTCCATTTTAAACTTCCATCTGCTACAAAGTTTGGGTATATATGCTTTGGTGGCTGGTATGAATTAAGACTAGAGTCTCTGAACAACCCTGATGCCATAAAGGTCTGTAAAATATTACCCTGGTGTCATGGATTATACAGATGTACACAAATGGCAGTTTCCTCCTTTTTCCTTCACACAGAGTTAAAAACGAGTAAAATATATTTCTCATTGCACTTCCCTTGTGCTTGGGGACTCAATGAACTCATTCTAAGTTTCTGCGTCTTTATAAAAATATTTTGTTTTTATTGAAATATGTTTTTGATCAAGAACATAATTCCACGGTTGCGTGTGTTTTTCTGAAACAAATATGTATATGGAGCAAGTGCACGGAGGAGGGCGCCAGCTCTGGTGACCCATCCCAGGCCTGGGAACTGGATTCTAACCTCAGCCTTACTGCTAACTCATTAGATGATCTTCAGAGAAGGAACCAACTTCTGCCCTCTAATCAACCTCCCATTCTGTCACACTCTCTTATTTCTGGATTTGAAGAACTGGAAATACAATTGACCAGCTTCAATTACATAGATAAAATTCAACTCTTAAATTCATAGAATGTCGTAAACTTCAGACAAGCTCCAAACAACATTAATTCTTTATGACACTTTTGAATATTCGGCTCATTTTTTTCAGATATATCTGAATATTGAAATACAGTGTCTTGTTTACCCATCCTCATCCTGCGTTGTATATTTTGTGAGTCAGGTAGAAGATGTAATCCCTGTTATATGGCTAAACCAGCACTAATAAACCAGTAATAATTTATATTAACAAACATTTACTAGACCCTTTATAAACTGCTTTACACACATCTCATTTAATTCTGATGACAAGAGTGGTAGGTAGTATCTCCATTTTATAAATGACAACACCAGCTTTGCAAAGTGGCTAAGCCAGGACTTGAATCAAGGTGAGTCTAATTGCATCAATGCTTGTAACCAATAGGCTATATACACTGCCTCAGGTAAGAAGCTATCACAGTACTTGCCAAATTTATAGTAATAGTTCTTGGTACTCTCTTAAATAATGGGGATACACACACACACACACACACATACACAATGGAATATTACTCAGCAATGATAAAGAATGAAATCTTGCCATCTACGACAACATGGATGGACCTAGAGGGTATTATGCTGAGTGAAATAAGTGAGATCGAGAAAGACAAACACTATATGATTTCATTTATATGTGGAATCTAAAACACAAAGCAAATGAATAAACAAAACAAAACAGAAACAGACCTGTAGATGTGTAGAACAAGCTAATGGTTGCCAAAGGGGGAGAAGGGTGGGGGGATGGATGAAATACATACATACATACATACATACATACAGTTTTTTTTATAAAAGGGGAAAAATGATTATGGCAAATGGTTCACTGAGGGAGGGCAGGACCTACCTAACAATAATAATACAAAACAAATCAAGTTGTTTACATATAAAACAAGATAAAGCTTATAAAACACAACCCAGACAAAATTTTCTAATAAATAAAATTACTACTGTCATTTTGTTTGAGGTGAAATTCATATGACATAAAACTATCTTTAAATGAACAATTCAGTGGCATTGGGTACCTTCACAATGTTGTGCACCCACCAAGTCTCTCTAGTTCCAAATTATTTCTATCATTCCAGAGTAAAACCTTGTAGCCATTAAGCAGTGTCTCCTCATTCCTCCATACCTCCAGCCCCTGGCAAACACCAATCTGCATTCTGTCTCTATGGATTTACCCATTTTGGATATTTCATATAAATGGAATCATACAATATGTGCCTTTGCTTCCTGGTTTCTTTCATTTAGCATAATGTCTTAAAAGTTCATCCATACAGTAATGTGTATCAGTCCTTCATTCCTTTTTATGGCTGAATAATATTCTATTGTATGGATAAACCATAATTTGCTTATCCACTCATCAGCCGATGGACATTTGAGCTGTTTCTGCCCTTGGCCAGTATGAATAGTGTTACTATAAACACACATGCACATGTACTTGTTTGAGTACCTGTTTTCAGTTCTTTTGGCTATATACCTAGGAGTGAAATTGTGGGGTCACATGATATTTCTATGTTTAAATTTTTGAGGAACTGCCAAGCTATTTTCCATAGCAGCTGAAGCATTTTACATTCCAACCAGCAATGTAAATGGGTTCCAATTTCTCCACATCCTCACTAACACTTGTTATTTTGTTTTTATTATTATTGTCAGCCTAGTATGTGTCAAATGGTACCACGCTGTAGTTTTGATTTATATTTTGCTAATAACTACCACTGATGTTGAGCACTGTTTCATGTGCTTGTTGGCCCTTGTATACCTTCTTTGGAGAAATGGCTATTGGATTCCTTTGCCAATTTTTTTTTTTTTGCTTTGTTTGACTTTTTGTTGTTGAGTTGTAATTTATATATTCTGGATACTAGATTTTATAGATACATGATTTGAAAATATTTTCTCCATTCCGTAGGTTGTACAGACTTTCTTGATAATGTCCTTTGGTGCACAAAAGTTTTTAATTTTGATAAAGTCCAGTTTATCTATGTTATCAATTTATCTATTTTTGTTTCTTTTGGTGCTTGCCCTTTGGGGGTCATATCTAAGAATCCATTGCCAAATCCAAGGCCATGAAGATTTTACCCCTATATCTTCTAAAAATTTCATGGTTTTAGCTCTTATATTTAGGTCATTAATTCATTTTGAGTTAATTTTTGTATATGGTGTTAGGTAGATGTCCTGTTTACTCCTGTTTACTCTCTTTTTTCTTTTTCCCTTCCTAGGAACCCTTGAAAGCAAGGGATTGCATATTTTTAACCTCACGTCTCTAACCAAGTCTGAAAATATTTTATCGGCCACCCTGTATTTCTATATTGGAGAGCTAATAAACATCAGCCTGAGCTGTCCAGTGTCAAAAGGATGTTCACACCGTGCTCAGAGGAAACATATTCAGATTGATCTGTCCGCATGGACCCTCAACTCCAGCAGAAACCAAAGCCAACTACTGGGTCATCTTTCAGGAGATATAACCAAGCCTCATCGAGACTTTGTGTCCTGGCTATCTAAAGACATCACGCAACTCTTGAGGAAGGCTAAGGATAGTGAGGAGTTCCTCATAGGATTTAACATTACCTCCAAAGGACACCAGCTGCCAAACAAGATGTCATCCTTTCCTGAACCTTATATCTTGGTGTATGCCAATGATGCAGCCATTTCTGAGCCAGAGAGTGTGGTATCGAGCTTCCAAGGTCACCGGAATTTTCCTACTGGAGCTGTGCCCAAACTGGATAGCCATATTAGGGCCACCCTTTCTATTGAACGGAGGAAGAAGCGTTCTGCTGGGGTCCTGCTGCCTCTGCAGAACAATGAGCTTCCTGGGGCAGAATATCAGTATAAGGAGGAGGATGGGGTATGGGAAGAGAGAAAGCCATATAAGACCCTTCAGACTCAGCCCCCTGAGAAGAGTAAGAACAAGAAGAAACAGAGAAAGGGGCCTCACCAGAAGAGCCAGACACTCCAGTTTGATGAACAGACCCTGAAGAAGGCAAGAAGAAAGCAATGGATTGAACCTCGGAATTGTGCCAGGCGATATCTTAAAGTGGACTTTGCGGATATTGGCTGGAGTGAATGGATTATCTCCCCCAAGTCCTTTGATGCCTACTATTGCTCTGGAGCATGCCAGTTCCCCATGCCAAAGGTAGCCATGGTTCTTTGTCCTGTACTTCCTGTTTCCATAGAATAGAAAGACACACTAAGTTAAGTGTGTGATTTCATTTACAAAATCCACTTGGACGCTTCTTGAATGCAGTCTAAAGTGCAATCGGTAATGTGGTTATGCTTGGTTTTTCTTTAATGGTTGTTAAACTAATATGAAGTCAGTATTGCTATGAAAAAGGATATGAGAAAAAAAAGTATGTGTAAAATATGGCTTTTTGTGTTGCTTCCAAACAAAGTGCATATTCAGCTATATGGTCTTAATTTAGCTATGTGTGAAGCTACACCTGTTGACGATAATAAGCAAGCCCCAAATGGTGGAAGGCTGAAAATGAGCGGATGTCATGGGAACAAGGGAAGGGATTAATTGGATTGATTTCCTGATAAGGAATATTTTTCGATAGTCTTTCATGAGACGAATTGTCCCTACAGGGGTCAGGATAAGGGTTGGTCCAGGTAAACTCACCTCATGAAGTCCACCAGATATTTATTTCATTTGCTTTCCTAATAAACATCAAAATGGAAGGCAGAATAGTATACAATGAATGACTCTGTAAACTTCTTCCAAGAGTCATTTCAACCAGTCAGCGCTTACCCGTGTCTCTTTCAAAATCAATGTTGAGTGTACCTTATCATATCAGTACTCAGTATCCTGACAAATATATTTTCAAAAGCCTCCCCACCCTCACCCGCATCTCACACAGCAAGTCCAAGTGACTGTTCTAATTTAGAGTTAGTGAAATATAGTGGTGCCCTCTGGCCTTCAGTTAAGCTTATTGCTGCCCTTGCATTCTTAGCTTATAACAGTTTGAATTTCTGTTATACAATGAAAAGTGGTTCTAGAAACAGAATTCAGAGGAAGAATAGAGGTTTTTTGTGTTTTCTGTTTTTTTTGCAAAATTTGAATTGAATCAACTTTTGCTGCTGTATGATTAAAAAAAAATCCTTTGCCTCAAAGAGTAACCAACCTTTGCTTATAAATTTTTAAAGTAGCCTTTTCATATTCCAGTCCTATGATTATTGGGATGCTAAATGTAACACACACACAAAGCAAAGGACCAACTGAACAAAGCCATGTCAGCCTCAGGGCCAGGAACTTGACTGAAGTTCCATTTTCTTGTTAGAATGTCTCAGAAGGACAAGCTTTCTACATGTTCCAAGAAAACGTTTTTGCCGATTCCATGTTTTGTAAACTGAAACACAAAGTAAAGATTATATACATTTACAATGATATAATAGCCTTATCTTGCCTAATATTCATAAAGGACATTTCAGTGATCAAACAAAAGTTTTTCAAACTGGGATAGCATTTAAAAACACACAGCAATGATGCCAAATATAACAGGCAGTGATTAATCTTTATTTTAAAGAGTGGCTTGCTCTGTAGCGTTGAGAGACAGAAATGGATTCAAAATCTCTCTCTAAACCCAGAATGACTGATTTTTAAGTGGGCCTCTGAGTCTTCCAAATAACTGTTCTCACTCTCATAAACTATAATTTCCCTGGGTAGCCTGGGGAAGCAGCTTTTCCCTTCCCTCCTGACTCCCGATTTCAGGGCCCAGGGAGCCATGAAAATGCAGAAATAGTCGGTTAGCTTTTCAACCTCTAACTCAGGAGACCGTGGCCTCATCTCCACCCCCCAAAATGAGCCATCTCCTGTTGGCTCAGCCTGCTTTTTCTGTTTAAAAACCTTGCTGTGGCTTCAGTACAAGTTTACCATGGTTCTCAGTGACCTAAAGAATAATAGTTCTAAAACTTATGAGGGATAAGTAAAGAACAGCAGAGACAAGTTTAAGGGGAGAAGTGTGTTAGCACAACAGAATGATTAAATGTACATGCTTGGTCATTGCTGGGCTGCTTAACCGTAATGTGCCTGAAAATCGCCTGGGGGTCATGTTACTATGTAGGTTCTGATCCAGTGGCCTTGGGGGTTCAACCTACGATTCTGCAGGTCTCACAAGCTCCTAGATGTTGCTGCTGCTGATGGTCCAAAAATCCCACTATGAGTAGTAAATTTGAGAGATCCTTCAGGCTTGAATCTTGGTTCCACCTCTTACCAGCCATGGTTTTGGGGGGAAGTTCCTCAAACTCTCTGTATGTTAGTTATCTCATCTTTGAAAGGGGTACAACAGTAACTGATAAAAATAATAGTATCTACATAATAAAAACAGTGGGAGAATGAGGCACTAGAGCACCTTGCACATAGTAGGCACTCCATGAATACTTGCTGTTGACGTTATTATTAATGACCATTGTTGAGACCGAGGAGAACGGAGCATTAAATGTAGGGGCCTGAAGAAAGGTTACACAGGGAAAGGGATCAAGAGAATAAAAAATGTAAGACAAGAAGAAGTTCTTTAAATGTTTCTAGTCTCTTTTTGAACATCACAAAGCCTAAAATAGGATTCTCCCTGTGGGTGCAACAGCCCATAAGCTCTTCCAGTAACATTTCTTTAGAGAATAATAGCATCAGGAGAGCATCGGTTGCAGCAACTGAACTCATCATAACATTTGTCAAAACTTGGAATGGCATCAGAACTCCAGGGAGACATAACAGGGATAAGTGTGGAGTTTCTCCCTGCGCTTGAGATTTCCTTTTGCCAAATTGAGAGTGGAAGTTTGGCTGTTACACGGAGTTCTCAGTCTCTCATCACCTAGCGTGGATCTGCTTAACTTTTAAAGGATTCTAGTGGTTCCCGTTAAGCCTTCCAGGCTTTGTGGCTTTCAAGTGGTACTGTCACCACAAGCATGGGAAACGTGAAGCGATAGGAAGCTGCTATGTAATTAATCAGCGTTGCCGTTATCAGCACGGTGTCTGATGCAGTAACCAGAGCGAGCTGTTTAAATGGAAATACAGTCCGAGCAATGGAGGAAAATAAGGTTTCTGACCACATCAGTACAAACACATGTGGAATAACTGAGGCGCCAAAGAACTTTCAGACTTTAGATATACATTTTGCCCCAGAGAAAAGTTCTCCCAGGCCAGACTCCTCTGCTGGCCCTCCTGCGTTTTTGGCCTCCTGAGCGAAAAAGCCTGCTCTATATGGTGGGGCTCTGTGTCTGCAAAAGTCGACAACCTGTTCTGTAATTCAGAACAGCTGTGTTCTGCCTTTCCCAAATTCCAGGCTTTGCCCTTTCGCTGATTCCAATTAGATAGTTTCTGGGCTATCACACCCATGTGGGCTGGACTAGAAGAGTGTGGAGCAAAACCCCACGGCCCTGGTCAGGAATGAAGGCTCTTAGCTGATGACATACTCTCCCCTGCTAATGCATTTGTAATCAAATGCAACTCGAGGACATCATCCATAGCTTGGCAGGTGCAGGCCTGACCACGGCAGATTTCATTCACAGACGCTGCAGTTTGGAGTTTTCTGATTTCTAGCCCCTACAGCCAATCTGTTCTTCTAGGGAGAGACCCCTGGAATCCTGCCATGAGATGAAAACTACCCATATAGTTAAAGCCAAGTCATATGCCTTTGCCTCTCTCCTCACCACCTTAGCAAAGATGGAAAACAGAGATTTCCAATGAAAATGATTGAGCCGTTGTCACTGACAGAGATCCAAGTGAACCAACAAGGATTAGAGGAATGAAGTTATTCTGCATGGAATGATGCAAAAACTAGAAACAGCAAAGCCGTAGACTTAGGCAGCAAAGAATCTAAACCCTTTGAACCAAGCATCCTGTATAAAGAAGAAATTTGCATTTAATGAGTTCAAAATGATACCCCTGGATTAATTTCCTGAGTTTTCCAATTCCAATCTCTGGTCACAATTATGAACTCCCAAAACTCTAACTCTTGATGTGCTTAGTTACCTAAGCAAAAAATCACCTAAACTGATGGTGAAGTCATGTTTCACACTCCTTAAAAAGGGAGACTGGGGAGGGAAATAACGCAGATTGAGTGCTTTCCCAAGTTACGTAAAGAAAGTCATGAGAAATATGACCAGAACTCAAAAACAAACAAGAATTGAAGACTGGCAATATGCTTTAAATGAGCAAATTACTGCATGGATCTTTTGTGCATGACATAATTATTCCTGGTAGTGGCAGCTTGTCCAGAGGATTCCATAATGAGAAAAAAAAGTGGGAAACTCCCTGGATAACAGAGAGGTTCCTGATAAGACACACCAACCAGAATCACGGGTTTGCACTTAATTCCCTGAGTCCACCAGAGACTGCTCATAGTTTCTGAATCTATCATTTGGGAGTTAGAGCTTAAAAAAAAAGAAGGGCAGGAATTTTCCTGGGATACACCCAAGAATAGTTTCCATATCTACTCCAGGTCATTTGCACAGAACCTTTTATTTTTGTTGTTTGGGAATTATTCCCCTAGAAATAGGTACAATGGAGGGTATGCTATTTTTTATAAGTATTTCATCCACTTAGCAAATATTTAATCAGTGCATAAAGCATGCACTGTTCTAGGCACTGAGGAATATTGATGCATAGCAGTGTTTATCGATAGAGCCTCATCTACTTAAATAGGTCCTATTCCTGTGAAATTTAAATACTATAGGCATCATTTAAACATTAACAATAACAGAATAATGTCAGAAAAAATCTGTTGTTTAAAAAAACCTCTTTGGGGGCATTATCATAAGCTATTTGGATGATTGAGTCTTAAGAATAAATCAATAGAGAAAAGTAGATGGCTGCAAAAGTTTTCTTTGGATATTAACAATACTGATGAAATAACAAACAGTGGCTATTGACATAAACTATATAAATACCAACTGCAGTTTGTGTCAGTTACGCAGATTTTATGGCTGCTGCAGAGCACATGATATGCAAAATAAAACAACTAGACTTCCTTTCTTTAAAGGGAGAATAACCTTCCTTTGCAAAGCTAATGAATTGAAAGCATTCTTTTTAACACATACTTAAAGCCTCTAGGAAGAAGGAGTAAAAAAAACAGTTACCCATCGTTAAGACTAAGTTTTTAAATAATTTATGCCTATTCACAATAAAGTTGAAGGCTAACATATGGGTAATGTTTTCATTAAAATGGAAAGAGGGGATGAGACAAATCATATTTGCCCTTTCTCTGCCCAAAAGAATTCTACGTATTTTTTTTTTATAGTATGCCAGATTTTTGTATTATTTGCTTCTCCCTTGGCTTGTATGTACCCTTAACCTTTTAACTTTTTCCAGTTTCCCATACTGGGAGTTTTAGGAGTATGAAATTAAAATACCGATTCTTTGGGGCAGAGGTGCCTCTTGAGCCATGAGAAACATGGCTCAAAATCCTGAAATTAAAAAGCTAGAGTTTTGGCCTCAATCCTACTCCTGGATTCACATGTGATCTCTGGCAAGTTACCAAATTTCTGTTTCAGAATATGCCTAAAACAAAAACGGTTTCACCTGCCTGAAAGAGACATAGGGAAAACTCATGTTGAAAAGTGTGGCACTTCTTGAAGACGTTCTTGCCACTCTGGCTCTACCGAAACATTCTGGGCTTGGCAAAGTGACTGTCCCTCAGTGCCGAGCAGGGCTGTAAGGCTCTCGCTAAATAAAACCACATGTTTCACATGGATGTTAATGTTCCCATTTGGCATTCTCTCAGGAACAGATTTTACTCAGGCTTCTCTGGTCAAACTTCTGACATCCATGGGATAACCTTAGGCCCCCTAGGTTATTCCCAGAGGAGATGGTCCGCGCTTAGAACTCTTTTAACTCTGCTGCATTGAAGTCTGAACCCATGGAGCAACAGTGACCCCCAGTGGCCAATGGCGTGGTCTTCTTAACCCCAGTTTGTGTTTCTCAGGAGAGGTGGTGAATCCACGCTGGAGCCATCATCCAATTTATCCTTGTGGCAACTAAAAAATAAATCGATGCCCCTTGACATTCTTGGCTTCATTTTCACAAAAAGGTGTAAATATCACTATCGTCGTGGCAATAATGTATCCATGGGGTTCTTGTCAGGGTTCTTTATGGAGCCCTAGGAAGTCATTTTTTGTTGCAATCTTATTATTGAAAGAAAACACCCTAGGATGTATTAAAGGTGTTTGGGGACTCAGCTGTTTTTAATTAAATGATTCTTGTTTAGGTAACTGGTTCAAATCCTCACGCTGCCACTTACCAGCTATTTGATTTTAGACATGTTTTTAACTTTTTTAGTAAAAATGTAAAAAAAAGGTAGTTTTGTTGTAAGCATAGAGATACTACGTATAAAAGGTCTGGCACATAGCAGGCACTTAATAAATGATAACCATTTTGGTGATGGTGGGGTAGGAGATTGGGCTGAATGTGTAATGATGCCAGGGCTTTATGAAGTTGTTGAAAGGAATGCCTTATGTATGTGTTTTAGTGATGAGGGGTGAAGAGTGGAAAAGCAGTCCCGCTTACCATATGTGTTCTTCTCCCATTTCTTTTCTAGTCTTTGAAGCCATCAAACCACGCCACCATCCAGAGTATAGTGAGAGCTGTGGGGGTCGTCCCTGGAATTCCTGAGCCTTGCTGTGTGCCAGAAAAGATGTCCTCGCTCAGCATCTTATTCTTTGATGAAAATAAGAACGTGGTACTTAAAGTCTATCCTAACATGACAGTAGAGTCTTGCGCTTGCAGATAACCAGGCAAAGAACTCATTTGAATGCTTAATTCCATCAGTTTATTTTTATGGACTATTTTTTTTTGCACTGCCAACGCATTTCATTCCAAAAGAAAAATTTTAATAGTCAAAAGAGAATGAGCAAATTGACCATTTCCACCAAGGAGAGCTGGGATGTATTTGTTTCTGAATGTAACTAAAAGCAAGATTTTAGTAAATATGGAGACATCTACTTCTTTTAATCACACGAGAAACATAGTAACAAACTGTTTTTAGAACTGGTAGAGAACACAGTGATTTATTTTTGTAATGGGCTTGGAAAATAGATTGGAAAACCATAATAGCTTATCATTTATCGCTACACATCGAGAATAGAATAATTTCGTATTTTGAAGTAGGCTTCTTGCCTTAGATTCCTGAGCAATTCAGCAAGTGCTACATAATCCGATCAACTTTGATGTTTATCGTAACAATTTTTGAGACTCTTGTTTACCTGTGTTTTCCTCCACACAGCACTGTGTGAGTAGCTGAGTGGAGACAGCGTGTGCCGAGTGCGTGCGTATGTGTCCATGTACCGGTGTGCATACGGCCAGGTGCCTGCGCCTCTGTAGGAAGGTTTCCTTAACATGGTTTTATAATTAACATGGTTTTATAATTCAGTCTACACAGGATTCTTTGTTTTTTTTTAATTTCACGTTCTGGCCAGCACCATTCAATTATGAGAACTTTACCAAAAAGGATGGAGTGCTCCAAGAGCATATGCAGAGAGTTACCACTTGGCCCAGCCGTTTAATTGGAAATACAGTTGTTTTCATTACATTGCCTCCCAGAAAAGGAAACCAGCAACCCAATTTTCCAAAACCCAGATGTAATTCCTCCTCTATACCTCTTTTTCACAAGTACTTTCATTTGTTCTTTTAAATTGAATTCAAAAATCCTTCCTGAAGCCATTAAATGTTTAGTTCTCTTGCTATGCCCCTTTCTGTGAAGTAATCAATTGTTACTGAGGCTCAAAAACTGATCTATTAGAGATGTCTTTACATGACCAATTTAATCACAATCACATGTTCCATATCATTCTTCAGTCACATCTAAAAGTCCAGGCACTTTTTCACATGGATCAAGGCTTTTGACTCAGCCGTGGAAGCTATTCTTTGGCAAAATTCTCTAAAAATTATCCACCAAGAAAGGGACTCAAATATGGACACTTTTCCCCTCCCCCCCCATTTCTATTGGTCATAAATATCGCCTTTTATACTTTTGCCTTTGAACACTGTCTCAAAAACCTTTCACTCACTATATTTACTTGTGTGACAGAAATTATTTCAGACCATGGATTGCTGATGCTCTGTCTGTGGTTAATACTTACCTTAGTTCAGTCTTACCTCATGTGAGGCAGTGAAGCCGTTTCAGAGGCTGTGACGTATCAGAAGAATTTTTTTTTTTTTTTTTTTTTTTTTTTTTAGTTTCTGCCTATAGCTGTCTGTGGTGGTTCATCATTTCATCAATATTTACTGAGCATCTATTTTGTAAAAGGCACCGTGTTAACCAGGTGTCTTTAGTATCTTTGCTGATAAAATGAAGAGGCTGTCTAGATGAGCTGAAATGCTCTTCCGGCACTGAAAATTTGGGTTTATAATACTGACTATTTCACACGCATCTTCCTTGAATGGGTGATAGTGAGATCGAAAAACACTGCACGTGCTTCTGTTCAGAAACCAAAGGCAAAAACTTTCTATTCTTCAGTGCTTGTGACTATGTACTTCTCTAAACGGTACTTGTTATCTTATTGGAAACCCACTAGAAAAAAGATCACAATGAAAAGAAGCTCTTGACACTTTTGGAGTTACATAAAGATTGGTGTGCATGTGTGTTAACTCCGGAATGAGACACACCAGTTCTAAATAATGAATTAAGTTCTGGTGCTTGAGTTACTAGGTTCCTTATGTTAATTATGTGTTCTGATAGCATAAAGTTAAAGATTCACAATGAGATAGGTGATAAAACTACTGTTTTAAACAATTTATCAAAATTTGAAAGCAAAATTATCTAATAGAAGCAAGCCAGCCATACAAGCCAGCATATGGCCAGCATATCCTGGTCATACGGTTTTTCAATAAATAAAACTTCTTTTTCATTGGTAGATTCGATGAAATTTACTTTTTTCCTAGAGATATATTAACCAAATCTCTAGCAATTCTCAGTATTGCTTCTCAGCCTTCTTTTATCCAGATGTCTGTTTGTTACCTTTCTTAATTAGAATCAATGCCTACATATTACAAATTAAATCCTAAAATGGCCCCAAAAGTTCTCTAAATAATAAAAATTTTCAAGTACCAACTAATTAAGATTTTATTTTAAGTAGCAATTTATATGACAAAATTGCAGCACTGTGAAAGAGTTTGGGTAGTCTCTTGGCAGTAGTTTCTGACCAGTAGTTATTTCTGGGTGGCTTTGTATTATCATTTCACCACTGCATTGAGGACATATTATGGTATAAACAGGAAAAGCTTTATTTCCAAAGAATAAAGGAAGATTATTTTTCAGTCGTGGGGATTGAAGTGAATGAGTTAATATTTTAGTTAATAAAAATTTACTTGAGAGAGTTGGAAAATTAAGTGACTGATTCAGAATTTGTTAGGTACTGGTGTCTGTATAATTACTACATAGACGTTTTATAAGTCTCCTGATATAAAAGTGGCAGTGGTGAAAAGAGAAATTACATTTATAATGCCATTTCCTAAGTCATGCATCCCCATCCCTGTTTGTCTGTTTCTCGCCCCCATTCCCCTCACTCTCCCTTTCTGTCTGTTTCTGTCTGGTCTCTGTCTTTCTCTCCCAATGCCCACTCCCACCCACACCCCCGCTCCTAGATGTGAGACACATGCACACAAACACAGTCACTTAAAAAAGGAATCTTTTTTTCAATATCCTTTTGAATTCAAATTAAAGGGCTGCCAATATCACTATAGTATTTTCAAAGTACTTTATTGTAACCTGTGTAAATAATATACAATTTACAGGATCTGGGGTTATAGAATTGAAACTGGAAGCTTGGATTCCCCAGATCTCAGGACTACAATATTTCATATACATTTTTAAATTTGCCTAGCTATATATTAACCAATGATCATTTACTCATTAAAGTAAGATTTTTACCTTAATATTTCTGAAAAAATCTTGTTGCCCACTTAATATTTTTATAGACAGTCATGTGTATATAATGCTATTATCAGTCTGACATAAAAATTTTTGTATAATTACATTATCCAGTTTAGTCTTTCTGTTTCCACTTTTCTCTGTGCTAACAAGTAACTAATGTCTGAATGTTGACTTCTTGTTCAATCAAAGTTGGTTAAAGAATAGCTAACCACACCTGATGTATAAGATTAAATAGGAGATTAAATAAGAAATCTCGGGTAAGTCTGACATCTCAGTATAGCTTTGTTTCCCATAAGAATTGTATTTTAATGTAGTTTATAAGTGATTAAATGATCCCCTTTTTCTAAAAACCAAGCCTTCTTCCCCTCAGTTTTCCACCTAGTTTCTGTAAATGTTTTAGTTGAGAATTCAATGCTTTGTACAGTCAATGGCAATTTAAAATATATATATATATATATTATATATGTATATGGAAAAACTTTAAAGATGCTTTTAATTTATTTAATGACTGTTGCTTTTCTATAATGGTAATAATTTTCATCCTTAGATGGTGAGAAAAACTCTTTTTACTATAGTTATTACATGCAAAATGAAATTTGGTTCTTTACTCGAATCCACTAAAGGGGCACGTTGCAGTGAAACTGTGAAGGACGCTTCACTACTGACGTATAAGCTTTGCTGAATTTGTATCCTTTTCCTCCAGTAATGGAGAGCATTTCATTATACAGTATGAAAATAAAAAATTGCTTCATTAAACATTTCCCCATTCTTTTCTACTTATCATCGGGAAAGACTGCACTTTCAAAACTTTTCAATTGCTGCATTAGAAAAGACCTCATAAAGCTTGAGCACAGAGCTGGACATTTTCAAGTTCAAATGGCATCATGAATAGAGCATCATAATCTATTATTAACATGACCTGACTAACACTGTGCAATAATACTGAAACACACCCATAATGGGAAAATTCTTATGTCTTCCAAACATGAAAAACTCAATTTGACTCATTTTATATTTCCTTTTCTT